TGTCCCACTCACATAGCAAGTACTTGTGAAGACCATGTCTGGATAAAGTACACCTGCATTAGCACTTTTTTTTTAAGTCTCGAAAGGACTTTGCAGAACCCTTAAAAACTACTGCAATTGAGTGGTTTTCTCATGGCAGCCTTCTGTCAGGCTTCCAAGGCTGTAAATCTCAAAAGGGGCGATGGCTTTATTTTCCTTCTATGCAGTGGCTTGTGTGTTCTAATTACTAGTATTTTGTATAATAGTCTAACACATAATACACTAGGCCCCTTTTCTGCAGCTTTTGAAGACTGTAATTTTTTGAAGTTTAAGTGTCGTGGGGTGGGGGTTGTTTAGCTATGGAGCTAAGAGTTCAGAAAGTTAGAGTCTGTCATTTTTTTAAAATGTTGGCGTTAGAACCTTAGCCTTTCTTTTTAAATGTTGTAGGCTCTTGTGGTTGGTAGTTGTTTGTTTCCACAGAATTAACCCTGACTTATATGTGACCTGTGTAACTTGTGTCACAGAATGAAACATTACCCGGTCCTGCACAGTCATCATGGCCTTTCAGATGTCAGTACGTTGTTGTAGCTGCTGTGTTAATCCATCTCATTGAGGTTTTTTCTCATATTCACTGACTCCCTACCAAATACAATACAATGCTCTTCTAATGATTGATCTTTCCTGCTGGTTTGGGTTGGCATTTGGCTTGGTTATATTTCCATGATGGTTTTTTAAAAGGAAGCAAGTTTTGCCATCCTCACTTCCAGGGACCATTCTACTTTGTTTTTTTAAAAACTAGTTTGTTCATTCTTCTGTTGTAAATACATATTTTGAAATCTGTTAATCTCACAGCTGTTTAACACAACAGTGAGACTTCTCTGAAGAAGTTAAAATTCATAAATTTTAAAATTATTGTTTTACAAAAGCTCTACCAGATGGGCTTCCTCAAAGACCTTTTTGTGTGGGACCAAGTAGATCTGTCTCATGGGGTTTCCAAGAATATAATGTTTGTGGAAGCAGAAGGCCACACTTCTGTCTTTCAAGGTTCTAACATCATGCTACCAATCAGTGCAAATGAGCATTGTTGTAAGTATGTGAAGTACCCACTCGATCCTTAAACTGAGCTCCTAGAAAGAAGCTGGCAAGCCTGACCAACCTCAGGTTTTTTAGTATTTTAAACAATGCTTTTATTCTATCAGTAGCTGAGACATAACTCAAAATCTTACGTCCTGAGCCAACAAAATCCAGCCCCCTTGGACTTTTTGCTATTGCATGGTCTCAGAAGCTAAAAAGGAGCTGAATGGTACTTTTGAAGAATGATCTACCCTAAAGTGAATAAACTGTATCCTTGCCTAGCCCTTAATCAGCTCAAGATCTGAAAGAAATGGTCACTTTATTCACAGGCCACCTGAAAAGGTTTTGTACTTAATTTTATGAATGGAAAAACATACCTTCCAAGATTACAGGATACTTCTGGCCCATTAGTTCTCTGAAATCTGAGGGGGAGGGGGAAAGTCTTAAAATCATACATGATGAGAAATTCACTGTATTTACACATAGAGGCATAATTTAACACTAGCCTTAGGGTCTATACCATGGATGCGCATGAGAGAGGTTAGAAGTTTGTTCCAAGGTCCAGATAATCTAGGAGCTATAAATTCTTTTGGAGATGAACCTCAGTACACTTGTACTATGTAGCCTTAATGACTACTTCGGAGCTTAATTTTTTTGCCACCTTTATGTGATGTCATTCTTACATAGAAATGATAATAATCCCTTTATGTAATTAATGGTATTTATAGAAGTCATTTTACCTTGTTAGGGAATTTGAAATAAGGTGGTACTGTATGTATCATTTAGAAAACTGCTAACAAGCTGTAATTTGCTTTTAAATGCTGTTTGCTTTCTTTTATACTCTTAGAAACTAGACCTTGAAATATTATATTTCAGAGTGTTCAGTGAAGCTCTTTAAGGAGGACCTAGCTCACTGTGTCAGTTGTCTACTTCACATTTCTGCATAGAGTTCTAAATAGGACTTGACTGAAAGTCCTTTTCCTAACGAAACAAGGTAGCTACTACAACCCCAGGATGGAAATTGACAGTTAATTCCAACAGATCCAGAGGCCCTATTATAAAATTTTCTCTATAAAATGTTAAAACCTTCATTAAGTGCCAGTAGCCTAAAGACACGTTTTTAGAGCCCTAGTAGAGAAAAAGCACTGCTAACATGAAAAGCAAGTTGCTTTGCCAACACAGCTACAGCAGCTCTTGCTTTTTATGACACAATGGAGTATGACAGGCAGGCCAAGTGTCTTCCATCTGTGCTCCCAAACTGAGCCAATCTAGGGACATCGGCTTATCTTAACTCCTCCCTGTGACATCCATGAAGGTGTGAAATACTTCTAGTCTACAAACCTGGAATTTTTTTAAAATGGAAAGAGTCACTTTGTCTTAAAATTAACTTCAGCTTGCACCCGTAAAAATGCCTATACATTCCATCTAAAAACACAACTTCTGCAAAAATGCCACTTTGAACATATTATCAGACTGGACACCCCTCTACAAAACACGAAATTATTACCTTGGCTTGAGTTCATTTTCTTAAACAAAAAGTAAGCTCCAAGAATACCCACAACTTCAACTAGTATGATTCCTTTAACAATCATTTTTGACAAC